CGTCCCACTCATTGCAGCCCGCAATGGAGTGAAGAAGCCTCTCTGGAGAAGACGCATCCGGTTGGCGTCTCAGGGAATTATTATATGTGAAGAGATAAAAAAATAATAATTTTTTTTCTTTTTGTTGCATGTATTCTGAACACATCACTTCTCTCCGCTGCGTTTTGTTTTTCCACCGCCATCTCTGCGCGTGCGAGCCACACACACGCACAGTAACAGGGAAGGGAAAGGCGGAAGTTTGAGCAGCAACTGAGCGTGGCAACGGGGGAGGGAGAAGGATTTTAAGAAAACACACACGCTCACATAAGCAGGAGGGGTGTAAGGAAGAAGTAGCGGAAGAAGGAGGAAAAAAAGGGTGGGGAGGGGGCAAAGGAAAGAACGCCAAGGAGATTAGTAAGCGTCATTCATTGCATCTCTGTAAGCGTATTATATATATATATATATATATATATATATATATTCTATTATATACTTGTAGGCCGCCAGGGACACACGCGGTAGGAGAGGTGGCACCGCATACATAAGGCGAAGGCAAAGCGTACCTTGTCAAAGGCTAACTTTCACCTCCCCCTCCCACACACATCAACGTAGCTGTAAGAAGGCGAAACGAGGGGGGAGGGGGAACAGGGCGGAGTGTGCGCAGGTGCAACGAAGGACGAGACGCAAACAGCTGACGTTTGCGGAATCAAAACAAGAGAAGGGAACATCAAACACACAAAAAAGAAAAAATAATAATAATAATAATAAACCAACAAGAATAAAAGAGGAGGAGGAGGAGTGTTGCACGTAGGCGAGGCATTTTTGAGCGGCTTATTGATTTAATAAAGCGGCATACGATATACACATATATTCATTTGTATGCTGTCCTGCGAGAGAGTTTCGATTCCTCTCACAGGAGCGCAACGGCCGCCCACAACGACCGCAATTACCCCACCTGTAGGGATGCCGAATGCCCCGTTCACCAGCCACCTGTCTGTGGCCCCGGCGTGCTTCGCCCGAGCGGAAGTTGCTAGCAACTCGAACCTCAACAGCAGCAGTAATACCAATCGCAATAATAATAGTGATGGTAACAAAAGTTGTGACAATAATAATACTACTACGATGAACGGTGGGACCCGCGTGCCTTCCCCGGCGGCTATGGCGGCGTCCTACTTCTCTGCCATGTGGCCGCAGAACGGTGGTGCGGGTGGGCAGGGGTACAACACCGTGCCCCTGTCGACGAACTTGGCGGTGACAACGGCGACGGCGACGGTGACAGCGACGGTGAAAGGGCCAGTAACAATGGCGGCTGTGGAGGACACGGGGGACGAGAACGGCGAGGTCGACAACGAAGGGGAGGAACAGACCGCCTCCTCAAACGACTTGCCGACGCCCGAGACGGGCACCAACACGACCCCGACGACAACCGTGGAGGAGGGATTCGGCCACACACATGAAGAGGGACCACAGCAGGAGCAGCAGCAACTGTCACCGGGTGGGCAACAGCAAGAATTGCAAAGGCGGCAGAAGTGCGGGCTCTCGCACGGCACCGCACCGCTCCCAAGTCATCACCGGGGGGACACCAGTGGCGTAGAGGCGGCAATGAACGATGTCAAAGGCGTGACTGCAGCTGGTGGTGCCGCGGAGACAGAGAAGCACGTGAGTTGTGCTTACCACTTGAAGGTGGTAGCGCCCCCCCACGAGCTGCTAAAATCCCGGGTGGATGTGGCAACTGCGCGTGAGGCTGTGACGTTGTTTTTGGAGCAACTTTGCGAGGAGAACAAGGCGGAGCCCGTGCTCACCTCAGATTTTCATTCCCACCGTCTTCCGCAGATGTCTGTGGAGTCGTACGTGGACCGCATCGTGCGCTACAGCCGCGTTGGTGGGGAGACTCTCATTGTAAGTCTAATGCTGCTGCTGAAGTACTCCCACTTTATCAACCACCCCGTTAGCATTTATAACGTGCACCGACTCATGATTACCAGCGCGCTGCTCGGGGCGAAGCTTCGGGATGACGTCTACTACAGCAACGAGTACTACAGCCGCATTGGGGGCATCAGCAACGTGGAGATCAACAAGCTTGAGCTGCGCTTTTGCACCTGGCTGGAGTGGGATATGTGGGTTGAGGAGGCCGAGTACGCCACGTTGGAGGCGCTGCTCCTGCGGCTGGTGGCACATGTCACCGTCAACGCGGAGGACGCCGATGGGGCGACGCGGCGGAGCGCGCAGCGGGACTTTTGGGTTGCGCATCTACGGCCATGGAAGGAGCGTTTTGAGGCCGCCTCTGTGCAGCGGCTTGACCGCATACGACGCAACGAGGCTGAGGACCTGTCTAATGAGCGTGCGAAGAGCCGGGGTATGAGCACGCACGGAGCCCTGTTCCCGCGGAATCCGCCTGGTTACCACGGCAGAGGCATGGTGGGCGGGCCTCTGGATCAGGTCATCTTGCCGACAGTCTGTCGTCGTGGACCTGGCGAGACTCAGAGCCACACCCATGACACAGCCGCGGTAACCGTTGCCGCACAGAGTGGGGCCGGAACCGCATGGATGCCGTTACAGCTTTCAAAGTGGCAAGGTGGAGGTGTGTATGATGGCAATGCGAATACTAATAATACTAGCGCTACTGTTGGTGATGGCTGTAGTAGTAGTAGCGGTGCGGGTTTTGGCATCCTGGAGCGTGCGATGTCGACCTCTGCGACATCAGCGGCTGCCCCCAGCTCATGCATTAGCATTCACGCGAAGCCGTACCACTACGGGGGTAGAACAGGCTCAAATAGGAACTTCTCCACCTCGCGGCACCAGCAACACCTCTACCACCATGCATCCTCCCAGCGGGTGGGGACTGGCCAGGGGGAGGAGCACGACACCGCGACAAAACAGGGTAGTAGCAGCACCACCAGAAGTAGCGGCTGCCATACCGTGCACACCAGCAAGAGCAACTACCCCAGCCACAGCCGAAGCAACAGCAGCAAACACAACAATGCACAGCTCAATGGGAATGGCACGGGATTTGCCTCCATCATCGCTACCAACTGGCGTGCGAGTGGTCAGGACACCAGCAACGCAAACGGCAGTGGCGGCGTCGGCCCAGTCGACTTCCCTGCCCAGCCGCGGCTAGGCGTAGAAAACCCCGAGGAATCTGTCACGGCACAGTGCGTGGGCAGGAAGCGGCCCAAGCCCGAGCACTACAAGGACTACTGCTAGGCGTCTCCCCCCCCCCCTCCCCTTCCTTCCCCTCCCGCGTAACTCCTCCTCCTCCAGCGCCGAGGTACGCGGCAGCGTCAGCGAAGGCCATCAAAACGGGCCTGAGGAAACAAAAAAACAAAAACAAAAAAAGAGGGGAGGGGAGTGGTGGTAGGGAGTGAAGGATACGCTGGAGGAGGCGGGATGGATAAGGCAGAATAAAAACAACAAACTTTAAAGCTTATATCTATTATATTCCGTATGTGAAGAATTTTCCCTCATCTTGAGGGAATCTGTTGTTTGTCGGTGTGTGTTTTGTTTTATGTTTGTTTGTCTCTTTCCGCGGGGAAAAAAAATAAAATGGAAGGGAGAAAAAAAAAAGGTGTAAAAATGTATGGAAGGGAACAACCATACGAAACACCAACAACGAACGGACAAAGAGGAGGATAAGAAGAAGAAGTTGGAGGAGGAATGGAAGGAGGCGTGGGCGAGTGGGACGAAAGGGATGGGAGGCAAAAGGATGTCGGTGGTACGCGCATGCATTGCACTTATACACGTATATTTGTAAAATTTCAGGAAACAATGGTGAGGAGTGTGAGTGCAAGTGTGGCACAGAGAGTGAGAGAGAGGGAGAGTGAAAGAGATGGGGAAAGGGAAAGAAAGAGCCTAACACGAGCAGACGGTGGGGGTGGGGTGTGCTGCGGAAGGGCGGGAAACGGGCCGACGTCACGAAGACACATCTAATGAGTGGATATCACCGGACGTGCGTCTGCACGCAGTGAGTGCTAAATGTGAAACGACGTGTTTGCCGCCGTAACGGCAATGATAATAGCAGCAGTAATACGTGAATAAGTGTGTAAGTATATATATATATATATGCCAGGAAACATAATGGGTGGAGGCGTAAAGGGAAACTTGGAGGAGTAAGTGGTGTGACACCTTTTTGATTGTCCTATTTCTTCTCTCTATCTATCTATCTTCCTCTCTTGGTTGGTTGGTTCTTTTTGCTTTTTCTTTGCTTTCTATATTGTTTCTCGTACGCTTCCACCCAGCCGTACTTTTTTTTTGTTTTGTTTTTCGTCGGTTGTTGTTGTTGTTGTTGTTGTTTGCCGTTCCGGCCACCATCGCCATTTGTTGCTGCGCTCCTCGTACACACACACACACACACACACACACACGCACACACACCTTTGGCCGCTGCCATTGTCGCATCCCTTCTTGGCTCCTCCTCCCACTTCTTCGCCTGCTTCCCCCCATAGTCAGACATACACACAGCAAGCACGCGGGCAGGTGCTTATAGGCAAGAAGGAGCAGGATGGGCTGGGGAGAGATGTCTGCGTACAATACGGCCGTCCGGCTGGATACCTTTCGGCTCTTCGCGTCTCTTCTTGAGTGCCCCCGTGGCGTATTCTTTTTTTTTTTTTGTCTGCTTTGGCGCGTCTCCCAACACCACCACTCATGCGGCTTGTTGTGCACGGGGTACGGTGTGTGATCCCTCTTTTTCCTCTTACATTGTTGCTTTTTTTTCTCTCTCTCTCCCTTTGTGGGAAAGGGATTGCGCACTCTTCTATGCGGAGGGGGGTGGTAGACATTGGTACGTATTTCATTTATTTACACGGATAGTTGGACTCACGGCGGAGCAGCCAAACGAGAATAGCAGCGGCTTGGTTGGAGTCTTCTGCGCTGAAGCGAGTTTGTGAGGAAGCAATCAAGACTCTGCTGCGTGTCAGAGTGTTGTTTTTTTTTGTGTGTGTGGTGTAACGGGCGTGTGGTTGCCTCCCGCTTCCGCGCTGGGACTGCTGGGCGTATTTGGGCCTTTCATCACGAATGATGGGAAGCGGTAAGGAGGGCGCCGAGCCTTCCGAGGAGAGGCAACGGCAGCCCCCGCTCCAGGAACCAGAAGGAGCTCAACACCTTGGTGTGAAGAAAGGCGGTAGCAGAGAGGAGGGCGTGGACGAGGTTGAGGATACGTGTCCGCCGGCGCCATCCGCGAATGCCGACGTTCCCAACTGCATGACGGACGTGCGTGAGGAGCAGCACGCTGCAGCCGCCACCGTGACGGTGGAGAGTCGCTGGGCGACGGGGACATCCAGGGGTGGGAGCGGAGGCGGCGTGCCAGCCACTGCGGGCAGCTTCGTCGTTGGAAGCACCTCACATGTCTCGCTCACCGGCACCCCCACCTCCAGCATTCACGCACGCATGTCCTCCTTTGGTCGCAGCAGCACTCACATGAAGGCCGTGATCAACGTCATCTGTCGTCGGACGTGCGGGGAACGAAAGCAGACGGTGCCGTGGTCCCCCGCAACGGGGGTACCGCCGCATTTACCCACGCCACGCATGACAGCCACCGCGGGTGCTACCGCCAAGGCGTCTGCTACGCCAAATGAGACGGCGATGCTGACGCCAGCGCTGAGCCACTCCGAGCATGGGCGGTCGGCAACGTCCTCGATGAACGAGACGCCGTTTCCTGCCGCCCCCCTGGGCATAGGCTTGTCGACACCCCCCTCTCACAGCAGCAGCAACCTCAGTGAACCGCACTCCTGTTATGAGAAGGAAGAAGAGCGCAACTATTTTCGTTACAACTTTGCTCCACGCTTGCAGACACGGTTTTCTTTGAACCAAATGCCTTCTGGAACTGAGGCAACGTCGGGAACGCAAAAAGAGGGTCATCACCAAGAAGAACAGCAGCAAGAAGAAGACGATGCAGCTACAGAGCAACAACATCAGCAGTTCGAAGAAGTACTATTTGCGGACAACAAGGATGTTAGTGGTGTGCATCATCGCTGGCCTGAGGTCTCCGCAAAGCTGCAAATCTGTGTTCCCGCGTCCCCGCTGTGGCCGGCGCCGGGTGAGGCGATTCCAACTTGTAAGCACTACAGCAGTGACGTTGAGTTTAGCACGAGTAGTAGCTTTGGCAGCGGCTACAGTAGGAGCGTGCTTCAGGCGTACAACCAGCCCCCATTTGTGAGAAGCGGGGGCAGCCTTTTCACAGACACGCCGTGTGTCTCTCCCTGCATGCTTGCCTTTGATGGCGGCGACGCGGAAGCGCTCCCCGTGATGGCAAAAATTCCAAACACCGTTACGAAAACTCCCGCCGCCACCACCATGAAGATGGGGCCCACTGACAACGACGGTGGTGGCAGTAGTGGCAGGAGGCGTGTGTTGCCATCGCACTATCAAAAAAAATTTTATTTGCGGTGTGACCCCACAGTACCGTCGGGAGTTTCACAGGAAGGCTCCATTGGGACGATTCCATTCAACAACGTTTGCCAAAATGTGGTGGCGGCTTTATGTCCGCCTACTTCACAGGGTGTAGACAGTACAACTTTGTTTGACGCAGCGATGGTGCTGCCAGGGCTCTACTTGGGCTCTTACAGCGATGCCTTGAAGCTGCCTGCGCTCGCCGCCCACGGTATCTCACTTGTGCTGAACGTTGCCGAAGAGTGCGTGATAGACGACGTCGTGGCGGACAACGACTACAATATCAAGTTTATTTGTTTCCCGCTGAAGGACCACAGCGATGAAAACATTGCACGCTATTTTGGACCACTGACACGAATAATTCATAGGCAGCTGCACCGTCGCGAGCGCGCCCTGTGGAGTGCAAGGAAGACTGCGGCAGAAGCGAACGAACATGACGATGCGAAAGTGGTCGCGGATGCGTCGTCTAACGCCTGCGTGCCGGGTGGGGTACTTGTGCACTGTCGCATGGGTGTAAGTCGAAGCGCAGCCGTTGTCCTTGCCTACCTTATGTTTTACGGTGACACCCTCGTGGTGTCCGAGGGCTGCTACAGCCAGCAGCGGATGGAGGAATCTCCCACCCTTGTGGGCACGCCTTCGATGGCGGCCACTCCTTTGTTCCCGCTTGCAGGCAATGACGATACTGCAGTGAAGGGAAGCCGTGGCACATGTGGCCGATGTTGTGAGTGCTGCTGCTGCCTTGCCCATCAAAACCACAGGGATGACCACGGTGGGGATTGTGGGGCCGCCCGGAGGGTCGTGAAAAGCTACCGGGAAGCATTTGCCTTTCTGAAGAAACGAAAACGAGATATCAACCCAAATATTGGTTTTGTGCTTGCACTACGGGAGTTGGATGGTGACGAGGGAAAGTAGGATTCAACTCACTCTCTTTCTCTCTTTTTCTCTCTTTCTCACGCACCCGACAAACATATAAGCAGATACAATATTCTCCTGTAGAAGGGCACTCCTCCTGCTTTCTTTTTCTTTCTTTATATATATATATATAGTCTGTGTGTTGGCGTGCATCTGCGAAGCGTTTGTGTTGGTAGGCTAATTTTGGCCGCATAAACACCTGCTCCGCTGTTTGTATATTTGTTTGCCTTTCACTTTCTCTCCACACTCCGCCAAGGGATTGGCAGGAGGATGGCTGTAAAGCGTCGGACTATGTCTTTTTTTTTTTGTCTGTTTCGGTAGAAAAAAAAGAAAAAAAACGGAAAGCCACAACCACTAAGAAAAGTAGTCGTGGAACGCCGACGAAGAGATGCACATCAGCGCGGTGTGTGCAACTGAAGTGGGGTGGGGGGGTTTGAAGTGGCAAAGCAAAGTCTAAGCATGCATGGAGTGGAAGTGATGGCTTGCGTTGGTAGTGGTGCTTCATGTGATTGCAATTGGGGCGTATGTATAAATATACATGCATTTGTGTGCTTGCCTATATACGAGTTATGGTGTTGTTGTTGTTTTTTTTTTCTTCTCTCTCTCTTTTGTTTCGCAGGGCTTCTTTTCCTGTCAGCATGTGTGTTTTGTCACGGCGGCGTTTTTTTTCTCTTTCGAAGGGGGAGAGGGAGGGAGGTGAATGGAGGAAAGGGGAGGATGAAGGAACGAGGGAGCATACACGTAGGCAGATAGTTATGTGGATGTAAATATTTGCATAAACGAGGTTAACTATGTCAATGGGTCTTAGTCGCTGTTGTTTGTTGTGGTGTTGTTTTTTTTTTGTTGTGTTTTCTTCACTCCCGCGGCGCTTGCGTTAATTGGAAATTGTGCCCCATACGCACACACACACACACACACACACATCCTGCGAATGCAAGGCCACATGTGTGTGCGTGTGGGTGTGCAAGCATCAGTGTACACGAACAGAACTGTGGGCATCATCCTTTTTATTTCCTTCCTACTCACTTACACTGTTCCTCTCTGCAATTTTGTGGCCGCCGATGCATACATAAACGTGTACGGTTTTTGTTTGCTCTGTTGCTTCTGCATGTTCGCTTTTGGTGGAGAGGGGGGAAATAGTTTCGTAGAGGACGGCATATATTCGTCTAGGTGTGTGCGGCGTGGGGTAAGCATGCGTGATGGCATCATCGGCAATGGAGGCTGTTTTTGAGGGGCGACTGCAGAAGCTGGAGCTGCAGTTGCGCCGCTACGCAGGCGCCTACAATGCACAGCGGGAGTTGCTGCTTCAGCTCCACACACAACTGCAGGCAGCGGAGACAGCCGACGGTGCGGTGCTCGACAGGGGAGGGGCAGGCACGGTAGCCCACCCAGAGAGGGGCGAGGGGCGGGGGGCGCAGATGCCCGCAGGTGTGCGTGGTCTTCTGCAGGAGGACGCCTTTCGCCGGCGCCTGACGCAACTTCTGCGGGACCCGTTGGGACCGCCGCAGGAGGCGGCCACGGCTGCAGTGGCGACCCCATCTAACATGCACAGTGAGGACGCCAGTGATGATGATTTGTGGCGGCGGCACGGCGAGGTGGAGGACGGGGCACCACAGCGAGAGGTTGAGGAGGCGAATTGGTGTGCCAGCCGTCGTCGTGGCCACGACGACGAGGACTGTGATGATGCTGATGACGGTGGTGGGGTGTCACAGCGGGCCTCACGATTGCCCGCGGCAGAACGGGGAGCAACGGCGGTGACGGCGGAGCAACTCACCGCATCGCTTGCGCTCACCGCATCGGACGCCGCGGCGCGCTTTCTGGAAATGATGCGCCGGCTGTGGTCAGCGTACTTTGCCCACCTGCACGCTGAGGTGCGTGGAGCGCTGCGGGGGGTGGACGACGCCTTTGCCTGCTTCGACGCGGACCCGTCCGAGGATACCCTCGTGGAATTCCTTGAGGCGCACCAGCAACTGCAGCCGCTCCTGCGTCGCATTTTAGGGATACCGGAGACTGCGGACGCAGCGGCCGTGCTGCCGCCCGGGAATCCGTTTGAGCCGGAGGGGGCCGTCGTGCAGCAGCTCTCGCTCTGCATCGCAGAGGCGGTGTCTCCACTGCTAACAGTGGCGCTATGCGGCGGCGTGGGCCACGAAGGCGCAGTACTGCGGCAGTCTTTACCAGAGAAGCAGCGTGGTGAGCCGACGCAGCGGAAGCGACTTCATGAACACCGTGCCCACACAGCGGCAGCAACCGCACTGCCGCCTTTTCACCCCTTGCGGCAGAGCAGGCATGCGTGGCGGGAGGAGCGTGCAGGTAGTCACTGCGGCAGCAGCAGCGACAGCGACAGGAGGGGCAGCAGTGGGGAACGCCCTGTACATGCGTTAGATGTTACCGCCAGGGGAACGGCAAATTATGAACCATCACCACCACCACTACAACCACAACGGCGACAACCCAACGACAGTTCACAAATAGAAGTGGCACTGTTTAGCCGCAGCATCTCTTCTGAGAGCTTCGGGAACGCTGGCGGTGTGCGCGGGTCCGTGGGAGCTCCTGCGGCTGCGGCTGCTGCCTCCACTGCAACAGGCGAGGATGAAATGGGGGATGTGGCACTCTCGAAGCATCCCAGCACCCAGCTGCGGTCCCTGCGAATGCAGGAGGGAAGGCTTGCCTTTGCGCTAATCAACACCGCGGCACAACGACTCGATCACGGCTGTGAGGCCAAGTGCTACGCCATCAACAAACAACTCGCCCGCGTACGCAGTGCTATTCTGCGCACGGAGCGCGAAGTGAATGAACTCCAGCGCATCGAAGAGGAAAAGGAGGCGCTGCGCAAAGAGCGTGCAGCCCGTCAGCAACGACTGCTCCTCCACTGAGGAGGTGACAAATAAAGAACGGCGTGGTACTACCGGGGTGGGTCAGATATAACCCGCTGCGGTTACCGAGGATGTGAGGTGTGTAATAACTTCACCTGACACTATGCGTGCGACCTTATGGAGATGGTGTAAACGCAAAGAAGAAAAGGAAAAGGGGTGGGGTGGGGGAGAAGAGAAGAGGCATCTCCAGAGTCTTACGCCACATAGAGATACCCGCTTCACCCATGCATACATAGATACATACACATGGTTATTATATTAAGTCTGCGTGTGTCAGTCAGTCTGCAGCTTATTTTCTCCTTCTTGTTGTTGCGTGGGTGGGAGGGAGGAGTCATGGTGTCTTGTGTTTGGGGTCTCTTTTCACGGTTGTTGTTGTCTTATAATTGGTGGCAGTCTTGCTTTGCCTTCTGCATTGTATCTTGCTCCCGCCGGTAATACGCATGACCTCCCAGCAGAGGAAGCGTACACGCAGCTATAAGTAAGTATACACACATGTCCTCCTCGCTCACCGAGAGTGTGCCTCAGCACTGGGTGGCAACACTGCGTCCATACCTGCAGCGGGCAGATGAGTTTGACAAGTTGCAGCCCGCCATCGCGTATTTTCTGCGCACACACGTTGCCCACCTGGCCATGCGGCAGCGGCGGAAGGAGGACCACGCCGGGACGCAGTACCTGCGCCAGCTTCTCGAGGCCCTGGAAAGTGACAAGCAGCGCCTCGGGCCGGGTGTTACCGAAGCGGACGGCCGCACCCTGTTGACAAAGATGGCGCTCACCTTGTTTACGCGGGCCGACGACGCGGAACGCAGCGGGGCTCCGGCGGACATGGGCCTCGTGCGGTTATTCTTCACCACCTCCATTTTGCTGGATGCCACGGCGCAGTTTACTGAGAACGGTGAGCTTGACCCCATCGCAGCGAAGCGGCGCGACTACGCCCGCTACATCGCAGTGCGCATGAAGAAGGCGCTTGAGAGCGGCGTCCCGTACGAGAGCCCCAACGCCGCGGGGATGTCGGAGGGCCGCGACGACGCTGCCACAGACGACACGAGCGATGATAGAGAGGCACAGCAGCAGCAGCCACTGTTTCCCACAGCGGCCCAGCAGCCCGTGATGGGCTTTGGAGATCCGCCGCCGCCGCCGCCGCCGCCGCCGCCGCCGTATAAGCCAAGCAGCCCTTTACCGCAGCCGGTGCCTGCGGTGCCCATGATGGCACCCGGCAATAGTATTGGGACCGGTGGTCCTTCAATGGACGCCATTATCAGTGCGCAGAAATGTGCCAAGCAGGCGGTGAGTGCGCTGCAGTTTTACGATCATGTGACTGCGCGAAAGCAGCTCATATCCGCCCTGAAATTTATTGACGGGAGCTGATAGTGTTATACCATCGCGGCTGGGAGTGGTGCCTGCAGCGGAGGGCCTGCGCGCCAATCATTTACTGTAGTTACCTCCTCCTCTTCATGTCCCTTCGACTTTAGTGGAAGTGTATTGTGCGTGTGTGTGTGTGTGTGTGTGTGTGTCAAGGGGGAGGCATGTGCCTTTTGGACTCCACGTCTCCTTCATTCCCTCTATGTTTTGTTTTGTTTTTTTAATTTATTATTCTCTTGTTGTCTCGTTTGGTCGCACGTATCGTTCTCACTTACCTCACCCCTTTTACTCTTGTGTGTGTGTGTGTGTGTGTGTGCGTGTTTTCTGGGCGCTGCACGTAGTCTTCTTATATATCCAGGGATAGAGAGAGAAAGAAAGGGAGAGAGTTTGTGTGGGAAAAGGCAGAGCGGTGAGGCGGGCAAAGAAACAGAAGTGTGTGTGTGCGTTCGCCGTCCACTCGCTCATTTGCCTCGACGATGATAGATGTACCCACCGACATGTTGCTGTGGGCGCTGCTTGGCGCCCTCCTCCCTGTCTTCACAATGACGATAGCCTCGCTGCTGGGGCGCTGGTCACTTCATCGCGAAAAGCAGAAAATGCAAAAGATGGGGCAACAGGCGCAGGCGGATGCGACGTCTGCGATGGACGCCGACGCCGGCAGCACGCGGGAGGCAAAAAGAAGTTGCTCCTGTCAGGCATCAGTCAATGGCGGCAAGGACGAAGGTGCAGGCAAAAAGATCCTCATCGCCTACGCCACGCAGTCGAACACGGCATGCACACTGGCGCACAAGCTCTTTTCCACGCTGAACACCGTCTTGCATGAGGCAAGTTGCGAGGAAGCGCAGCAGGGTTCCGTCTGCTGCCGCGGGGGGCGCTACGTGCCTGAGGTGAAGGTGCTGCAGCTCGCTGAGGAGGGCCGGCAGTGCAGCGTGGACCACCTGCTAGAGAGCCATGCCTACAGCTTCGTGGTTCTCATTGCAAGCACCTACACAAACGGCACCGCGCCAGGGTCGTCGCAAGCGTTTGCGGATCTTCTGCAAGACGCGTACACCGACTTCCGTGTGCCACGTGATGCCCTCGCCAAGACGCGGTTTGCCATATTTGGGCTGGGCGACGTCGCGTATGGCGCGAAACACTTCAACCGATTTGCGAAGAACCTGTACACGTGGTGCAATGGCCTAGGGGCGTCGTTTGTGGTGCCGCCAGTGTACGCTAGTGAGGCAAATACGGTTTCCCTCTTCAACGTCTTCACGGCGTCCCTGGTGAAGTGGGTCAGCCGCGTCGTCTTCACTGCAGACGGGGTTGTGGTGATGCGAAAGCCGCAGCGGGCGAAGGGGACGCGGTCACCGACAGGTGACGATGCTGCGAGCCTAGTGCGTGCGGCGCCCGACAGTGAGGACGAGGAGGAGGAGGAAGCGGGAAATGAGTCGCGCGGCGGCGGCAAGATGCTGAATAACAGCCGCAGCAACACCAACGAGAGCGCGGGTGATGTGGAGGATGTTGTGACGGATGACGATGATGGCGGCACGGAGGGGGAGGCGTCGATGACATCCGCCAGTGATCCACAAGAGCTGCTCTACCCGCGGCTGCGGCAAAACTTGCAGCGGCAGGGCTACCACCTCGTCGGCTCCCACAGCGGGGTGAAGTTGTGCCGCTGGACGAAGGCCATGCTGCGTGGCCGGGGCGGGTGCTACAAGCACACCTTCTACAACATTGCCTCGCACCAGTGCATGGAGATGACGCCGAGCCTGGCGTGCGCCAATAAGTGCGTCTTCTGCTGGCGGCACCATACGAACCCCGTCTCACGCTCGTTTCGCTGGAAGGTCGACCCGCCGCAGCAGCTTGTTGCCGGCGGAATTGAAGGGCACCAGAAGATGATAAAGCAGATGCGGGGGGTGCCCGGTGTCACACCGGAGCGACTGGAGGATGCGATGCAGGTGCGTCACTGCGCTCTCTCCCTCGTCGGGGAGCCTATTATGTACCCGGAGATCAACGCCTTTGTGGATTTGCTGCACGAGCGCGGCATCTCCTCCTTCATGGTGACCAACGCACAGTTCCCGGAGCAGCTGCGGATGCTGAAGCCGGTGACGCAGTTGTACCTCTCCATTGATGCCCCCACGCCGGAGGAGCTGAAGCGCATTGACCGCCCACTCTTTGAAGACTACTGGGAACGCTGCCTGGCCTGCATACGGGAGCTGCGTCGCAAGCCGCAGCGCACCGTGTTTCGCCTGACGCTAGTAAATCAGTACAACACGGAGAATGTTGCCGCCTACGCACATCTTGTACGACTCGGATGGCCGGACTTCATCGAGGTCAAAGGTGTCACGTACTGCGGCACAAGCGCCACCTCCACACTCACGATGAAGGAGAACGTGCCGCGCCACGAGGAGGTGGTACGCTTCTGTGCGGACCTCTGCGCGGCGCTGGCCGCCGACACTGCCCCCAAGGACAAGCGAACATGGCTGGGTCAGGAGCCCGAACCAGCAACCGCAAGGGCCAAGTTTAATAGTAACGAGAATAAGACGTCGGATAACAGCAAGGAGAATAATACCAACGAGAACACCACAGAGGAAGGAGGAGCAGCGGCAGCGGCGTCTAGCGGCCCGTACTGCATTGCATGCGAACACGAGCACAGCTGCTGCGTTCTCATTGCCCTGCGCCGCTTCCTTGTGCAGGGGGTGTGGCACACGTGGATTGACTACGACAAGTTTACCGCGTTAGCCAGGAGCGGGCGCACTGACTTTACGGCTGCTGAGTACGCAGCGCCGACTCCGTCGTGGGCGGTGTTCCGCTCAAACGAAAAGGGCTTTGACCCAACGCAGCTTCGCGTGCACCGCAAGAGCGGCAAGCCGGTGGTGGTGACCTCTGGATGCTAAAAAAAACACACACACACACACTGGCGAGGCGCATGTACACAACACATGCATACATGGATCTCGTTCAGTTCTTGCCGCGTGCTGTTGTTGTGTGTAGTTACAGTCTTTAGACCGAGTTTCTTCAGCTGTTGCATCTCTTGGAGGGGGCGAGTAAAATATCTTCAAACAAAACAAAACAAAAAGGAAGCGCACATGAGTGTGTGAGCAGCGGTGCTGCACATACCACACAGTGAGGCGCATAATAAATGTATGCACACATACGTGCATGACACTGTGCACCTTTGCCTGTGATAATATTACTGGCGTTTCCCTGAGTTAAAGAGGGCTAGTGAGCGACAGACACACAAACACATAAATAAATATTAAATTAAAAAGAGCAAATGAAGATGCCGGAATTGCTGCTTTTTTCCTCCCCCACCATTCTTTCTTGCTTTCTATGCGAAGGTGTAGCGGTACAAATAGTTTCAGCAGCAGTCCTCTTTCCCATCACACTCACCGCCGACGGGCCCGTGGGAGTATTTAACTAGTTGCCTTTTTTCCTGTTGACTTTGTTTTTTTTTCTTTATTCTTATTTGCTGCACCTTCATGTCCGTGCCGCCGTACCGCGGCGGGCAAGCCAAAACCGACACGCCGAACACCTCGTCCCTGCCAAACGCCTTTGGTCACAGCAGAGTTACGCCACCAACCACCCCGCCCGCCAACATCCTCAGACGCTCCCTGCGGCTGCAGTTGGGCTCGCCCGCGTCCAAGGGCACGCCGATGTCGCGCGGCAGCAGCAGCGGCATCTACGACAGTACCCAGTTGGAAGCTGTCTTTGGTGCCGCAGGCGCCGTGGCGAAGCCCCGCAAAGGCACTCTCCTCCTCAGCAATAGTTACGGCACCAACGCAGCAGCGGGAACCCGCTCCCAGCGTAAATTGAACACGCCTTTTGTAGCACCCAACACAGTGGATTCCGTGGCGTCTGAGGAGGCCGCCGTACCCACATTCAGTGAACTGGAGCTGGACAAAGTGTGCGTCATCGTGCGGGTTCGACCGAAGGTGTCAAAGAATATGATGCCGCCTTGTTGCCGCGTCATCAGGGGCACCGGTATCGTGGAGTACACGGCGCCCTTGCGGGAGTCACCGGCTTTGGTAAATACCCCCAGAAGTGTATCCTCCATTGTGTCTTCCCGGCAGACCACTGCCGTAGCTGCGTCGCACGAAGGTCGAAGGACCTTCTTCACCTACAACGCCGCGCTTGGCGAGTCCGCCAATCAAAACGATACGATGGTGTGTGTTGGGTATAAAATGCTGCGGCACCTGCAGAAGGGGTACAACGCCACCATACTGTGCTACGGGCAAAGTGGAAGCGGTAAGACGCACTCGATGATTGGGCCGGCCGGTGGCGTCCCTGAAAGGTTGCAGAAGGTGGAGGATTTTGGTTTGATGCCGCGCATGTTGGAGGGCCTCTTCACTTTGCTGCAGGAGAAGTTTCCAATGGAACCGGAAAAGGAGAAAGACTCCAGCGACCTCGTCAGGAATGCCCTGGAGGAGGAAGACGAGGATGGGGACAGTGAGGGGCCGATCGGGCCTGGTTGGTATGCAGAAATCGGGGCGTTGGAGCTTTACCAGGAGGAGATGCGGGATTTGTTAGCTGAGTGCTCACCGTCAAACTACTCCAGCCATGCCGCGAGCGTCGTCAGTCACTCCAACTCCGCCACTGCGATCAGGACGGTACCCCTGCCGACAGTTGAGGATGGCTTCCTATCCGACGCTGTAGAGCCCACGGAGAACATCGGGAGGAGCCCGCACCCGCGTTGCATTTCTGGAGCCGCGTGGTCGCGACTATCGCGCTTCATGCGGTCGGTGCCCTCCTCAGCACGCGAGTTAAGAATTTGTGAGGACCCCAGCTGGGGCGTTGCCGTGAGTGGGCTTTCCTGGCATCCGGTGAGCTCCTTTGACGCCGCCATGCAGGTGCTGCTGCGGGCCACGCGGATGCGCCGACGCGGCTCTACCTCGTTGAATGAACGCAGCAGTCGCTCCCACTTTTTTTTGTTTGTCGCCTTGCAGCAGTGGGGCGTTGAGGAGGGAGCGGGGGGGGGCAGAGGGGCTGGGGCAGAAAGGCGGGGGCAGAACGAGTTCGCTTCTGACGCTGGTTGACCTGGCGGGCTCCGAGCGAGTTTCGGTGACCGGGGCGGAGGGGCAGCGGCTGAAGGAGGCCCAGATAATTAACCTCTCCCTCACGTTGCTTGGAAACGTCATTCGCAAACTGACGGCCACCGGAAAGGAGCGGGAGCAGTTTACGCACATCCCCTACCGGGACTCCAAGCTCACACGCCTCCTGCAGGAGAGCATCGGCGGCAACGCATTCACCACGCTGCTCTGCACCGTTTCCCCGGAGCCGCGGGATGCGGCGGAGAGCCTCTCTACTCTGCAGTTCGCCAACCGCGCCAAGCGGATACGCAACCAGCCGGTTATCAACCACAATGAAACCAAGGAGGAATTACGGTCAAAGCTGCAGCTCGCCTTGAATCGAATCGCGTGCTTGGAAAAGCAGCTGGGTGCTCTCGTGGCGGGACAGCAGTGGGCGATGACCCTGGAGATGGACAAGGCGGCGGCTGCAGAGGTGGGGGCGCGCGTCAACGACAAGCATGGCACCTCCTCTAGCGGTGAGCGGCCCGCGGGTGAGGAGGAAGACGAGACTCCATCTCTCACGCTTTCACATATTATGTATGGCCTGCCATGCAACCATGAGGAGGATGACGGGGCCATCTACGACACCACGAAAAAAGATTCACCCCATAAGCTACTAGAGGTGCTCAGAAAGAATGGGATGGAGGCCGCATGCGTGCAGAGCGAACATGTCAAGTATACAACGTTCCTGCGGGAGGAACGCAGAGAACGTGAACGGATAGAAGACTTCTTTCTTGAAGAGCGGCACAAGCTATTAGAAGTGGAGACTCAACTGCATAGCATGTCGCCCCTTCACGAAAGCCTCGTCACCCCTAACGGTGGGGCGTGTTCTCAGGGCTACGCGGACACCCCTGATTGGTTCGTGAGGAGGCCCAGCAGAAGAACCCACTACTCACACAGGAGTGACGCAGGTAGCCGTACGTTGTGGCGACGTCGCGTGGCCGATGCCCCATGGTGGCAACCCCGCCATTCCACCAACGTCTTGGGAGTGCTCTCCGCATGTGTACCCTTCATACATCAGCGGAAGGATAATATCCTGGAGAGGGATGGCGTGCCCACTGACGAGTCGTTATCCTGCTGTGGCACGAGTGCGCCACCCAGCAGTTATACAGGCCTAATTCCTACAATAGCGTCTGAGGACGACGGCAATGGCGGCAATGATGATGATCGCAGTGATGCGGAGGAGGTGACAAGCCTCGATTCACCGTGCCACTTCATGGCGGATAGGTCATCGATGGTACGGCTGCTGGAGCAGTATGGCGTGGAAGACATGATTCAGCCGTAGGCGACGTCCCGCAATGTGGGGAGGGCAGGAAGACAAGCCATGAAATTGCTTAGTATATATATATATATATATATATATATATATATGTTTACACACACCTAAGTGGCGTGTGATGGAATTACTTGCGTGGAATATTAGGAGGGTGTGATAGAGAGAAAAATATTTTTTTTTTTTTTTGAAAAGAAGCAAAGAGCACAGGAACCTTATTAAGTATGGCAAAAATACGGACGAATGTAGGAAGAAGAAGAAGTAGAGGGGGGAAGTGTGTACTTCACGTGAGACGGAAAATGTAACGTGTGAAGAGGCAAAAACAAGGAGGGAAGGGGAACGGGGTGGAGGTGGTTTTGTTGTTCTTACTGCTGCTGGTGGTGGTGGTGGTGGTGGTAGTAGTAGTAGTAGTAGTAGTGAAAAGCGCGTGGGATGCAAATACGCCTCTGTGTACATCCTTTGTGTGGCAGGAGCCGAGAACCCACACGCAGGAATATACATGCGTGCATATGTGTGTGTATGCGAGGAGGAGGAGGAAGTGGACGAGTGACCCTCGTGGTTTATTTGATTTGTCTAATTGTGAGGACACTCGTAAGTTATCCATTTCTGTCATTGTTCACTGCATGGATGTATGTATTTATATGGCGGCATGTTTGTGTGTTTCCCATCATTTTTGTCGTTGTTGTTTGTTATGCATTTCTGCTTCTTAATCTTTCAATGTTGCTCATGTTGTCCGCTTGACATCGTTGGTTGGTCGTCAAACTCGATTTGCATGTTTTTTTTTGTTTTTGTTTTTTGCTTTTGTTTGTGTCTGTTTGTTTGTTTCTCGAGCATCAATGAAGTTTTGTCTTTGTGTGTGTATTTTTTTTTTTAAGCTGGGTTGAATGTATTATTTCCTCGTCTCTCTCTGTGGATGTGACGTCGACATTCGAGGCGTGGCAACCCCACACGGCAGACACGCCCAAGGCGGATGGGCCCGCATGGTTGGTGGGTGGCGCATCGCCGCTGTACTTGATTCATCGCATACACCCCTCCTCTCTTTCTATTGTGTTCTGTGTTTGTTTCTCTTTCTTTCCCTGTAAACTGCAGGAGCGAGAAAGCACGAGGGACCACCCGACCGGTGCTTCCCCTCGGTTCCCCTCTGCGTGCGGTTGGTGACCGTGGGACTCCGGCAAGGTCAGCGTTCACAACGGAGGCACAGCGGCGGACAACGCGATGCGGGAGGCGCCTCCTCCTCCTCCTCCACCTCCGTCTGCTCCGGCGACGACCGCGACCCACACCGCCGCGGTGTCAGCGTCCACGCGACTCACTAAGACCCAAAAGCAGGTGCAGCAGCAGCAGCAGCAGCAGCGTCCCCTTTTGCGGTCCGCTACGCAGCGCCTGGCGTTTGGCGCCCTGCCCTCGCATGCAGGGGACGTCCACAGCGCTGCAGATAAACACGGGGTGCGGAGTCGTACGGCTCCGCTGCGAGCGCGATTGCCGCCCGCCACCCCGGAGAGGGCGAAGAAGGGGCACGGTGCTGTTGCCCACAGTAGTGCGATGAAGCGGCAACGCCCGCAGGTGCTCGCGACGAGCGGTTTTCGCAAGAGCGCAACGGCACCGTGGTCTAGCCCGGGGGGGCGTGAGCCACAACGACCGCAACACACCTGCCGCCGCACTGTCTCCCTCACCTATACGAGGGGCGCCTCCCTGCTTCATGTGAATGTTGAGCCTGGGAAAAAGAAGTCCCACCCGCAGAAGCAGCAGGGCCCTCCTTGCACACCGCAGCGGCAGGTCAATGCAGCGTTGCTACGTCAAACAACCTCCACGATGGGAACTGTCACGGCCTTCTCTCCGGCGTCAAAGAAGGCCGCAATTTTAGCCCGGCCGGATGCAAGAACTACGAGAACCCCCAATAAAAAAAAAGCTCCTCGTGAAACCAAAGCGGGTGCGATGGACCTGCTGCGGCGGCCCCCCTCGCTGAATCCAACGCCGCATGAGGCCCCTAACGCCCCGCGTGTGAACATGACGTCGCTGCAGCGGTGGTGCGCTTGTTCCACCTCTGCCTCGGCGCACGCTACCACTGCCGCCCAGCAGTGTAAACGCTCTGCGGCGGTAAAGGCGCTACCCACGCCGACACAGAAGCCACGCGTAGCTTTGAGAACGCCATCTGCGCCGTGCTTTCCACAATCCCCGAGGCGGCTGCAGCGAACGCACACCACCTACTTCCCCATGGGAATTAGGCGGCATGCAGCTGCGTCGTCGCCGTACACCGTCGATGGTAAGACACCGCAAAGGTCAGGAGAGAAAACCGCACCGCAGGAGAGAGGCCCTCGTACCAAGACCGCTACCAGTGGTGTTGGTGGTCGAGGTGGTGCCGCTCAGGAAGGCAGAAAACGAACATCGACGCCACCATTAACTCGCACACCTACCGCCCTCCACAGTGGAGCCTCAGCCTTTTCTGCATTTGATCTTCGTGGGAATGGCACCGTGAGGCGTACCTCATTATTTATCTCAAGAGCGTCTGGGGAAGAGGTACAAGCCCAGCGGCAGAGAAGGACGCAGAATGGGGCGGAGGGTGGGAGGTGTGTGGTGGGTAACGGTGGCGTCTCGCAGCGGAACCCGGCTCTCGGTAAAGCGGCCCTGCCGATTCGTCCAACAAATAGTACGCTTTGTAGAGAGGCCTCCACGCGGGCAAAGAAGCGTCAAGAGATTAGGCAGGAACATGAACGCTTGGCGGCTGTAGTACCGCACTTGTCACAGGATGTGTGGTTGGCAATGCGACGGGAGCTGCGGCGATTGGTGGAGGTCCGCTCAAAGCGCACCGGCACGGCGGTGGGTGGTCGCGCAGTGGCACCGCAGGCGCAATCTGCGCACGCCCTGCAGGCCCCGCAGAGTGGCACTGAGGAAGATAGGGGGCAGAGCATTAGAAAAAGCTCCGTGGGCGATAGCAGAGCGATGCCAGCGCGGCGCAGCACCAGGAGCTCCGTGGCAAAGGAGTCGCCCAAGTGTTTAGAGGGCATGACCGAGAGCTACAAGGACGCTCATCAAGAGGGGATGTGCAACATGGGTGCGAGGCAGCGGGTACTGGAAGGCCGGTTTTCCTCACAGTACCGTGGACCGCGTCGCGTAGGGGTGGAGGCGGCGATGCCATGGCCGCAGCTTGTCGCTAGCGGGAACGGGGGCGTCCACTCTCTCCCGCGTCATTGCTACCAATCTCCCACCGCTGTGGACGCTGATGCTGCGGAGGGGGAAGACAATGAAACACCGATGCCCGCGCAGACCGTGGTGCGGCTAGGGAGGAGAGCGGAAGTGGACGATGAAAACAAGCAACGAAGTATGACGCGAGACAACGATAGTCGTGGGAGAAGCTTCTCCCCCTCCATACGACCTCCAAGTGAGTTCTTTGACGACGCGGCCGCAACGTCCGCGGACTCCACGCCGCGGCTGATCCATGGCAGCATAACCGCCTCAGACTTGGACACCTCTCCAGTGGTCGTCCCACCGATGCGGAGAAAGTCCCCCTCATTCGTGCTGCGGCGTCCAAACCGGCGGAAAGCGAAGGCCCCCGTCTTACATTTCTGCGGCAGGCGAAGCACCCCCCGCGTGTTTCCCTCCGCAACGCCCCCCAGGCGGCGTCATTGCGAAGGGTGGGGTAGATCTGGCTCTCAACTCTTCTGTGCGTCGCGCAGGGCCGGGAGTTGGCACGTTCGCCGTGGTAGGAGCACCCGAGGTGACGGCGTCGTTGTGCTCTCTTCCGACATGCTTGTTGCGCTGTACGCTACCATCGACGGGACGGCAGACGGTAACGGCGGCAGCAGCAGCAGTCTCGCAGGCCATTGCGCACAACGACGCGGAAGACGTGGTCTGCAGAATGTTCCCACGGCGAGAACACTTTCCTACGAGGGCGTCATTGCGACAACAACGACGACGACGGCAGCCGCCTCACTTCCACCAGGGCGGAAGTTGTGTGGATAACGCGGCCGGTAGAAGTTGCATTGCGGTACCACACGCGACGCCGTTGGAGGAACAGTGCGTGGAGCCTGGTTGAGTGCATAGATGATGGTGATGCAAACAAGGTTTGTTATCCATGATTGTTTTTTTCTTGTTTGGGTGGAGTGGGTTGTGAGTCACCGCCCACTTGCCGTCATTGCCAGACACGGCGAGGCAAGGAAGGGGGGAGGGAGAGAGAGACAGAACGAGATGAAATAAAGAGAGACGTTGTGGGAGAGGGAGATGTGTGCCTCTTGCCACGTTTTCTGCGTCGCTGTCAACGTGTTATATATATAAATACATGCATCGATATGGGTCTATACTCCTCTACTGCCCTTTATACGTTCTTCTTATTGTATTCGTTTTTTTTTTGTTTTCCATGGTTAGTCGTGCACGCTATAAGCGGTAAGCATCCAACTAAGATTCTTAGTAGTAGTAGCAGCATCGTTGGTTAAGCTTCAATTGAGAGCATTTGCTCTGCGTTTTGTTCCGTTTGAGGTTTCTGCCAACATACATCAGATATATATATATATATATATATATATATATATATATATATA